TAGCAATACTGATAGCACGTTCTCATCGTTTCTCTCGATTCAAAAGAAAACTCCAGGTTGTGCTTCCAGTACGAACGCATTCACGGCCTGTAATGTTTAGTTAATAAGATAGATAAGATATAATATTTTAACAAGGTATTGTTTATATGTATATGTATATATATACAGTATATAGTATATACAGCGCTATATATCAATTATATTCGAGCGTCGTCACTTCAACTCCACGTATTAGCCCAATACGAGATAGCGTCTAACCCGCCGTAGCAAACTGGAAATCTTATCTATGACATGTCATGTGAGGAATTTATGTTCTAACAAAAGAATACAAGTCGTATATGGGCTATTGCTGAAGTATCGGAAACCTTCGCATTGTTCTAACCATATCACAACATAGGTATTATTTCTATGGTCAATCCATGTTAAATTATAATAATGTTATTAAACCGCGAATATAATAAACAAAGTCATAACTATATAATTAGTAAGTATTAGGCGAAGACGCCTTGCAGTTTCTAACACGTAAGTCGTCGTTGTAAAACTCTTCCAATAGAGACAAGTGCGAAAAAGCGACGCAGCGCTGTAATTCGTGTCGGGTGACACCGGGAACGTAAAACCCCTCATGTCAAAATGGTATAGAGACGTAGAGCGCATCCTTGGGGTTTCCTAGAGACGTAGATGATCTCGAACAGAAATCTTCTCCGATGGTTTCCAGCATACAGCCGGAACGACAAGCGACACGTACGCTACGTGGTGCGCGGAAGAGCGGGCAATTGAGAGAAGGGGTAGGTCAGAAAGTGAGGGAGAAGCAGGAGAGATGATGAAAGAGAGGGAGAGATTAGAGCGCTCGAGAGAGAGCGGAAATAATACAAGAGATGACGGTGGAAAAAGTGATCAAGAAGGGAAGAGGCACATTTAACTCGTCACGATCAGCGGTTGCTAGTTATTGATTGGCGGTAGACCCCGATCATGATTGAACTGTTTACAATGATCGAACTAAATAACACACTGAAAATATTTACTCTAGAATAATACATTTGCTTGGCTAAAATAACTTCTGTGGTGGGATAGTACACACGCTCTCGATAACACGATAACAATATGACTAACTCGCCACTAAAAGCTGTCATTAATGATGATGGTGTATAAGTTGAGAAATATAATTGGTCCATTTAGTAAAACAAAAATTTCAACAGTGTAGAAAACTTTTGGGAAAATTTGAAATTTCACCGAGGAAATGCTTAGCTGACGTGATCGCCATAGAAGATATACAAGAATACATTATTGTATAAATCATTTTATGGGTTGTTTCCGTTGAATTACCTAATCGACATTAAAGTAATATCTTGCGTTGACAGCCGCACAGGCTGGTACAACGATACAGGAGCTAGTCAGTTCGAGACAAACCCGTATACCTTCGGGGCGTTTGAGTGCGATTCTTGATTATCGTCGCAGCAGATACGGCAAGGGAATGTGCGTATTTAAGGAATCTAGGCGATGGCATCTGTCAATGTCTTCACTTCAAGTCGTTTCTGGCTCTGGCGAAGAGCAGAGATAAGTCTTATATTTGCTGCTCGATATTGGCAAATTTGTCATCGTCTGCCACCGCGACTGAGATTTGTTGCTGATGTCAGCAGTCGTTTAAGATGTGTACGAACAATTGAGCTGCGTCGCACGTGGTTCCTGCATCGGAGAGAGAGACGAAGTGGAGAGTGACGGACAGGCATGAACGAATTTCATCTTGCTGTTATTTGAGTCGGTATATGCAATATCATAATAAATATATATATATAGATATGTGTGTGTGATGTGTGTGTGTGTTGTGCTGTGTGTGTGTGTGTGTGTGGTGTGTAGTGTGCTGTGTGTGTGTGTGTGTGTGTGTGTGTGACGTGAGGATGTGTAGTTGGTGGCGTGAATGTTGTGTGTTTGTGTGTGTGTGTGTGTGTGTGTGTGGGTGTCTGTGTGTGTGTGTGTGTGTGTGTGTGTGTGTGGCGTGTGTGTGTGTGTGTGTGTGTGTGTGTGTGTGTGTGTGTGTGTGTGTGTGTGTGTGTGTGTGTGTGGTGCTGTGTGTGTGTAGTGGGTAATGTGTGTATATGTGTGTGGGTGTGTGTGTGTGTGTGTACGTGCGTGTATATGTGCTGTGTGTGCGTGTGTGTGTGTGTGTGTGTGTGTGCGTGTGTGTGTGTGTGCGTGTGCGTGCGTGCGTGCGAGTGCGTGTGTGTGTGGTATGTGTGTGTGTGTGTGTGTGTGTGTGTGTGTGTGTGTGTGTGTGCGCGTGTGTGTGTGAGTGCGTGCGGACGCCCGCGTATATGTTGCCTTAAGCTAAGTTATATAGTTTACTATATGATTTTATAGATCCTAGCAGACTTAATACCGTACACCACCAAATGTGCCTTAAAAATATAAACTTCAATGTAAAGTGGACTAGTTAAAGGGTTAAATATTTCATGGCAACTGAAAAGAAAACAGAAACAAAAAAGCATTTTGGGAAAGAAACAAAGAGCGGAATTTCTATTTAGTGACAAGGGGACAAAAGTGCTCGTGTGGTGATCCACTTGGTTGAAAGGAAAATACCCCGAAGACCGACCCAAAATGTATCTACTGATCTATCTATCTATCTATCTATCTATCTTATCTAATCTAATCTAATCTATCTATCTCTCTATATCTATCTATCTATCTATTCTATCTATTATCTATCTATGTATCTATCCATGCATGCCATGCATCCAGTGCATCATGGCATGCATGCATGCATGCATCTCCATCGCCGATTCCATCCCATCACCATCCCGATGCCATCCTCTTGCTATCCGCATCCAAGTCCCATGGCCATCTATGCTCCATGGATCCGATCCGATCCCATCGCATGCGACCGCCCATCCCTCCCATCACATCCATCCAAATAATAAAAAATAATATACAAGATAAAATACATGAAGATAATAATAATAATTATTGTAAAAAAATAGTAAAGAAATTTTGTTTCCCATTTTTAACCTTTTTAATTTTTTTAAATATGATGTAGTAAAAAACAAACAAATTAATTTTGAATTACGCTGAAAGTGGCAGTAAGTACATACTAAAGGTCGAAAAGTTAAGGGGAAAAATTTTGTTTGCGCCTAGGCTGAGATTCGATCGCCGTAATCTGAAACTTCGGGAGCTCTGAAAGCGAGTATTTAATGAACCTGAGTCCTACCGACTACGTCTACGGCGATACGGCCAGGCAAAATTGGTTCATTTACTGGGGATATCATATGGGCTTACTGTTTTTTGTTCGAACACGCTTCAGCGTGTTGTTCAGCACGTTCCATGAGTGTTGCTGGACAGCTTACGTCTCCATCGAGTGTTGTTCACACGGTTCCGTGAGTGTTGGGTGCACAACGTTTCCATGAGTGTCTGCTTCAACTTCGACGGTTCGCAGTGAGTGTTGCTCAGCGACGTTCCATGAGTGTTGCTCACAGCGGTGTCGCATGGAGTCGTTGTTTGCACAGCACCGTTCTCTGCGTGTGTCGGTTCACGCACTCAGCGATCAGGGACGTTTGGTTCTAACAGCTTTGCGCTGGCGGAGCGGTGTTTTCTACGACTCTTCGGCGGGCGTGGGGTGGTGCGATCAAGCGCGGAAGGCCTTCACATAGTTACTCTTTGTGCAGGGCCGATTTCATACTAGGGCGGCAGTACAAGATGGCGTAGGGACTATAACATTCTTCTAACAACCATTATATGTTACCACATGCTCGTATTCATGGTAAGCTAGCCGGCGTCCTATATAGCCACCATTCATCAATTTAAAAAACACATGAATAACAAGTTAGAAACATGTATTGGCATATATATAGGCTCGCTCCTTACACAGTTAAGATAGGGTTTCGGAATAAGCAGATAACGAACAGATAATTATATTTAAATAGAGTACTCACTGTTTTCGTCGGCATACACAACATACGACTTTATTTACATGTTATAATAAGTACGAAGATTCCAATGGCCTCTAATGCTCCGCTCGATAACTTTTAGGCCAGCTTTCTGACGCTAATTTTTCTACAAAGTAGGCCGCTCATACACATTTCTAACGCAAAAAAAATGACGCAAACAACCGGTCAACCATGGCTAAAGCGCCAGGTCCAATTTTTAAACCAATAATGAAAATCCAAAAACGAGACGAAATAGAGTGTGAACAATTTGCGGAGGCTTGCTGTTGCATGCCTGGGCTGTATTATGCAATTAATTTTCTAACCTGTTATGTTAATTTCATTTAATTTATAAAATCTATAAATCTATAAAATTATTATAAAATATATAAGTATCAAGAGTAATGTATAAAGGAGGAGTAGATTCTATTATCTACTCTTGATAATATATTAATATGATACAATTTAATATATGTATAATATATTATATATATATATAGTTGTATTATATAATATTAATGGTTAGTAGTTATATTAATAATATATACTATTCTATATATACTATATACTATATATATTATAATATATAATGTATATTATATTAAGTATCACGGTATATATTACATATATAATATATTATGGTTATATATATATATATATATAATACTAGTATATACCTTATGTTTATAATATAAATATATAATCTGTATAATATATATATATTAATTATCATATAAACACTAATATAAAATATATTCTATTATTGAGTATTTTGTTAAACCAGACAGTAGAAAATCGTTTAACTCACGCGGTGCCTCAACAGGCCTAGTGTTTGTGCGTTTGGTGTTGCAAAACATAAACATCAGGGTTAAAGGCAGACATCTATACAGGTTATGCAGGATCGAAATACTTGAGCCTCTATCGAGCAATTTTTACGCGAGAAGTCATCGAATATCTATGTTATTGGGTGATATCGCTGCGAAAGGAAAGGCTCGAAACGCTTCATCTGTAATATGAAACTCTTCTTGCGCATGCCTGCCTGTCCTTCTCATGGTAGGTTGCTGTACAAGCTTGTTTCGACACGGAGTCTTGCAGACGCGACGCTATCTGGAACTGGCAACAAAGTAGGTTGATGCATACCATTGGGCCTTACGTTCGCCCGTCCCACTACCGCAGCTACACACGCGCACCCTCCACTCACTGCTTAGATCAGGACCTCCCACTGCTTACATTGGCCTCTCTCCATGCCTTACATTGTTCTCTCCCACTGCCTTACATTTGCCTTACATTGCTCTCCACTGGCCTTACATTGCCTCTCCCACTGCCATTACATTGGCCGTCTCCCACTGCCTTACATTGCCTGCTCGCCACTGCCTTCACATTGCCGTCTCCCCACTGCCTTACATTGGCCTCTCCATTCTACTGCCGCTCAAATTGCTCTGCCACTTCGCTTACATTGCTCTTCCACTCGAGCTTACATTGCCCTCTCCGCATGCCATTACATTGCCTTCCCACTGCCCTTTTACCATTGCCGTCTCAGGTCTCCCACTGGCCGTGTACATTGGGCCTCTCCACCAGCCGCTGGCCTTAAGCATTGGGGCCTCTCCGCACTGCCTTAGATTGGGGCCCCTCCCAGCTGGGCCCCCCGGCCCCCCGCCCCCCCCCGCGCGCTTATCTTGGCCTCTCGCCACTGACCGTTCAAACATTGCCTCTGCCTCACTAAGTGCTTAGCTTGCCTCTCGCCTCAGGCCTTACAATTGGCCTCTCGGCCACTGCCTGTTACGATTGCCCGTGATCTCCACTGCACGTTACATTGGCCCAGGCTGTCCATCTGCCTTAGCTTGCCGCGTCTCCCAGCTGCTTTACAGTTGCTCTCACTGGGTGCCCTTACATTGCCTCTCCCACTGCTACATGCCGTCTCCCCGACTGCCTTACATTCAGTGCCTCTGCCGCACTGCCTTAACATTGCCTTCTCGCCAGCTGCCGTATCCATTGGGCCAATCTCCCACTGCCGCCTTATGTAGGCACTTGCCGCATTCCACTTGCCTTACCTTGCCTCTCCACTGGCCCTACATTGGGCCTCCTCACTGCTTACATCTGCCAGTCTCCAACTGCCTTACATGGTCTTTCTAGTCCGCACTTGCCTTTTACATTGCCTCTCGGCAGCTGCCTTACATTGCCCATAACATTGTCTCCCACTGCCCTTAATTGCCAACTCTCGCACTGCCTTACATTGGCCCTTAAACATTGCCTCTCCCCTCCCAACTTACATTGCCTCTCCCTACTGGTTCTAATCATTGCCGCTCGCTCACAACTGCGTATTTTAACATTGCCCTTCCCACTGCTGCGTGTTACACATTTGCGCTTCTCCCCTCGGCCACTTACATTGCCTCCCTCCACTGCCATTTACAGTTGGCCCTCCACTCGAACTTGCCGTTACATATGTGGTCCTCCTCCGAGCACTTTTGACCCGACGAACATTTAGCTTTGAGTGAAAAATCACCGATTGGTCTCCCTAGGCCGTTTACAATTGGCCTAGCTCGCGGCCACTGCGAGGTCAAACACACACACACTACACTACCATTGTCTCTCCCAGACTGCCTTACCTTGCCGCTTATCCCAGACTCGGCATTACCCATTGGGGCCAACCTCTGCCGTTAACACATTGGGCCCTGCTAGCCTTACATCAACCACCACTGCCTTACTTCACCTTTCCTCTGGCGTTACATCGAACCTCCATGCCTTACAGTTCACCACACACAGCCTTCGCTCTGCCTTACATCATACCACTGCCGTTGACAATTCACACAAACCCCTTCCTCTGCCTTACATCAACCCCCTGCCTTACATTCACCCTTCCTCTGCCTTACATCAACCCCCTGCCTTACATTCACCCTTCCTCTGCCTTACTGTCACTCCCACCTATTGTAGTCAACGGTGTGTGGGCACCTGCTATTGGGAATAGTAGTCATACATATGTTCCTGTCCTTTACCTCGGTGTGCTCTTCAATGTGTCCGCTTCTCCATCCGTACATCAGTGACCCGTGTATGGGTGATGGATTACCGACTGTGTGTATTGTTTTGCTAGATACGACGAGCACATGGCCAGCGCCCACGGAGCACCACACGCGCCCTGATCGCACAGAGGGTGGCTGAGAGCAGAGAACTAGCCATAGACTGGGAGGGTGCGTGGGAGAGAAGGATTTAGTGACGATTGGAGCGTGCGTGGATAGTAGTAAGATTTTAGTGAGCAGATTGGGAGGGTGGGCGTGGAAGAGAAGATTTAGTGACAGATTGGAAGGGTGCTTGGAAGAGAAGATTTAGTGACAGATTGGAAGGGTGCTTGGAAGAGAAGATTTAGTGACAGATTGGAAGGGTGCGTGGAAGAGAAGATTTAGTGACAGATTGGAAGGGTGGGTGGAAGAGAAGATTTAGTGACAGATTGGAAGGGTGAGTGGAAGAGAAGACCTAGTGACAGATAGGGACTGTGGTTGGGAGAGCAGAGACACTCTATGGTAGATGGAGAAGGTGGGTGAAAGAGCAGAGACATGGTAGACTGGGAGGGTATATAGGTGAGGCACTTGCCGGTAGATGGGGTTACTGCTTTATGATGCTTGCTGACGGTGCGCCAAACATGTCACGTCAGCAGAGGCCACCCTGCGTCATGTAACACGCATTTCTCGTAGTGAGAATGGAATTATTAAAATATGGGCATATAATTGTCAAACCATATAAAGATATCGTACCATATTTAGGTCGCAGGCGTTTCATTACATGTTGTATTGGTGGAATAAGTGATTGGCATTGTTATTCTGGTATTCGCGTCTATTACTTACTTTACTTGCACTCTTTGAAGGATTATATTTGATATTATAACTTAAATAACAACGTATAATAACCGTTAAAACGCCGTCAGGTTGTGTATAGACGACGGGCTCCTATATGTTCTGCAAACACTGGAATGCTATAAAGTCGAAAATCCGCCGCTACTGTTGTATGCATGCGCGTGTGTGTGTGTGTCTGTGTGAATTAACTGACCAAGTGCACTAATAAATACACGTGAACCACAAATTGAACTTCGCCTGTTTGTCTGTCCGTGTGATTTGCTTTCGATGTCAACGCAATCAAGTCTCTCAGAACGCGCACATTATATAACCTATCATGCAAGCAGCACGCCTTCCTCGCACGGTCGTATAGCGGGCCGCTGGCCGTTCACCGCTAATAGCGCCATATATGCACGCGTCCCGTATAGCTCCGAATCGTGCGCCAGTGCAGTAAAAGTTAGCGTGCGAAAAGAAATCGCGCGCGCGTGCGTGCATGCGGCATTAACGGCGGCCGCATTGTGCGTGCGGCAGCAGACGAGTCGGCCCTCGGGAGTCGCAGCTACGATGCCATCATCATTAGCGGCTCATCGAGCGAGCGCGCAGTCAACGATTTTTTATGATACTTATGCGCAAAAGACTCGTCTCCCGTTCAGAGTACAATGACGTTTTATTGCGGTCATCAAAATATGCTTGATTTCAGTACATAATAATAAAGATAATAATAATAATAACATTCCATTTCCACTCGTCTCGGGACAAACGCTTCAAAAACTGTCACATTCAGTATTGATGTTTGCGGTAAATGATCCTGTGATTATTTTTAATAGTGATAACCGCGACAACGTATTCCTCCTGTTGAAGGCCCTAGTCATGCATTACTGACATTGCTGGAAGTAGAGTTAACTATTCCATGTAGCTGTTAATGGCAGTAGCAGCGTTGTGTCCATAACTTACATCTGTTTTTATCCAATATAGGGGGAGCCATCTTCAACGGCTCTGCCAGCAGAGATTCTACAAAAGAGTGCCTTGATGGCACCTCAAGTTAAATCAGGTGAGACCGACAGAACGATAATCACAGACAGCAGAAATGTCAGGCTTGTGTGGGCAGGGAACGACATATAGAGTTAAGGCTGGAAGCGCTAATTTCTTGGCAACGTGCCACAATGACTGAATACTGACGGTACGTTTACTGCAGCGACGGTGGCGCCATCATCGGCAGACGCGGAGTTTTCTGGGTCCTTGCTGCCCATCGTGACAAGTCAGAGGGAGAGATATCGCGTGCGCAACCAGGAGCTAGAGGCGGTTAGTTACAGCACCACCGCGGCGTGACCAGCAACAGATATATATATATATACACTGCTTACATACGCCTAGCGACATGTAAATGCACTAGTAACATACACATAGCAGTAGACAAAAGCACTAGTATCACACCTCTAGCGGCGGATAAATGCATTAGTAACGTAGCGATAGATATACGCACTAGACAGATGTTGGAATCGTAGATTTTGCTCCAAGACTCATTTATTTCATACCTTATCATCATACCGCCTTTCTTATGATATACCTTCACTATTACATACTTTGTATATACTTTCCCTATTTCGTGCCCGTCATATATATGTAGACATGCCTGCAATAACATACTCCTTTATGACATGCATTCGTTCTGCTACACACGTACGTCGTGTATATATTCGTATAACACAATATTTGTATCCTTTATAAACATGTCTTCTGTGTTAGATACTAGATGTGTTAGATGTTAGATCGGCTGAAAACAAAATTCCCGTTATGTTTTCATTTACATGCTGTTAGACGAAGAGATTATCTCTCACGCACAAAATGGCACAAAGACACTCAAACAAGGACATGCAGACACGCCGACGCATGCACGGTCAATTAGGCTCACATGCCAGTTGTGGCTCTCTTATCGTTATTGCACATCTTTCGTGGCGACAAATTGACGTCAATCACATATTGCGATCGGATTAAATCATGAGCCGTCGTTCTTAGTTACGTAATGTTTGACGTACATATTTCACGTCCTGACGCTCGTCCGTGCTGACGTCACGGCTGCAGACGAACCAGCAGCAGCAGCAGACGCTCATGTCGTCGCGTTGGCACGTCGCGACATTACATGTCATTGCGTCGTCACATTGGCACGTCGTGACATTACATGTCATTGCGTCGACAGACCACGACGTTGCATGTCGTCGCGTTGGCACGTCATGACGCTACGAGTCGGTCACCTCCCCATGCGGCCATGCTGCCTGCCGACATGTCTCCCGGCGGCCGACGACGACACGGTGGCAGCGGCGGCGGCGGCGGGCGGCGCCTCAGTCGCCATGTTGAGCACGCGTTTCATCTCGGTCTTCTTGGCGTGCTTCAGCTTGCGCATGTAGCCGTCGACCAGCTCACGGATCTTCGCCACGTTCACCTCAGCGTGCTTGTTGTGGCAGATCTGCGTGTGCGCCGAACGCACAAACAAACGCGAGAACGCGTCGAGTTAGCGAGCGAGCGAGCGACCGTAAGGAATTAAGAACTAGTGGTGAACAAAAGCACGGGTTAGCGAACGAGTGATTGTTAAGGATTAAGAGCTAGTGTCGAATGAAAACACGGGTCAGTGAGCGAGCAATTGTTAAGGAGAAAGTTATGAACTAGTATAACAGCGAGGTAGCGAATCAGATGAGGTGATTAAAGCCGCTGCACAAGACCGCATGTACGCCAGCACATGACAGCGAGTACGTGAACTAGGACCCCTTTCTCACTTCTTGTCTACATCTCAAGTGACCGAACCTTGTAATGGATTGGTAGTTACCCTGAAAATTTTCACGATGCACAGGGTGCTTTAGGTCATGTTATTCACGCACACGGTCAATCTGTCCGGTACACTTCCCCAAATTTGATCGGTACTTAAACTCAGACGACTTCGCCTAATCTGTATAACATGTGTCGGGCATTTTACGTAAAAAATCACGTGGGTCTACCCTGAGAACACGGCCAGTAACCTTTACCACTGTGATTATGTGTGAGAGATGGTAGTTTTCACTGACCTTTGGCACACACTTCCTCATCACCTCCTTGTACTCGTCCTTGTCGATCTCACGTCGGTTGTAGAAGGGCTTCAGCGCTGCCTTCACGCACTCCACTGCCTTCTCCATCTTCTCCTGCTTCTCTCGCTTCTAAAAACACGAGCGCGCGCGTTACCATCGTACGCATGCAATAGGTGAAGCAGGATAGCTATCTATATGATATTATTGTCTAGATTTATTCGCTCTTTCCATCTCTTCTACTTACTCGTTCTCTCTCTATCTCTCTCTCGTTCTCTATCTCTCTCTCTCTCTCTCTTTCTCTATCTCTCCGTTTCGTTATATATATATATATATATATAGGGTGCGAAATTAACGGGAGTCCGGAGTCAAATAATCCTTGATTTACTGTCGGACTCCCTGATTTGACATATGCAGGAGTCCGTGTGACTTCCTGAAAATTCTGCCATACCATACCATTGCCTCACGGAATTACGGTATTTTTTCAGCAAATGTCCAAAGAAAATTTGGCAGACGTGTAACCGCATGAATCTTCAAAATAAGCACGTGTTATTGTTAATATCTTTAATTTTGAACTTCAGACTGCGGACTCCATCATTTTGCTACGGACTCCCTCTTTTTGAGGGTAGGGAGTCCGTTGGACTCCCGTGTTCAAAAGTTAATTTCTACCCCTGTATATATACACTTGCAGCGGACATGAAATGACGTAAATTAACCATAACATTACACACTTGCAACAGAGGTAGAAATTAACTTTTGAACAAGGCCGTCCAACGGACTCCCTACCCTCAAAAAGAGGGAGTCCGCAGTCTGAGGTTCAAAATTAAAGATATTAACAATAACGCATGTGCTTATTTTTAAGATTCATGTGGTTGTACGTCTGCCCAATTTTCTCTAGACATTAGCTGAAAAAATACAGTAATTCCGCGAGGCCGTGCTCCGGAACGAACTAGTTAGTGTGGCAGAATTTTCAGGGAGTCACACGGACTCCTACATATGTCAAATCAGGGAGTCCGACAGTAAACCAGGGAGTATTTGACTCCGGACTCCCGTTAATTTCGCACCCTGTGACAATATATAAAAATGCATCCATATGTAGCACTGTGCTGAATTTACAATGCACAGACTGACGCCGCGACTGCTGCCGATGTTCGTCACACGAGCGCGTCTCACCTTCTCCCTATTGTTCATGTCGATTGCTGAGCTGGGGAACTCCTGAAAGTCCTGCTCCGTGATGCTGATGATCTCGGGAGAGTGCAGCGAGGGCTCCTCGATCTCCATATCGACCACATCGTGCACCGCATCCTCACCATTCTGCTTCCCTCCTCCGCCGCCTTCTCCCCGTTCTCCCGCTCGTCCTCCTCCTCCTCCTCCTCTGTGGTCGCGGTCTCGGCCTTCCCTCTCCGGGCTGCCCGTCCTCCCCGCTGGCTGCGGGAAGCCGGGGGGAGGCGGCGCCCCCATCATGTTCGGCGGCGGAACCTGAATGTTCGGCGGGGGAAACGGAATGCGGCTCCCCGGCGGCAGGTTCCACAGCCAGCGCTGGCCGGCGCCACCTGGAGGCGGACCGGGCGGGAACGCGCCGGCGGGAGGGAGGAAGCTACCATCGTGTTGCGCGGGGGGAGGCGGGCGCGTTGCCGCGGGCAGCAGCGGCTTGTTGTCGTCATTGCCGCCGCGGTAGATCGACGGCGGCGCCGCCGCTTCCTTGGGAGGCGACGACTTGAAGTAGGCATCTCCTCTTCTTGAAGAGTGCTCAGCGCCCCTCTCCTGCGAGGTGGCCGCGGTGACGACGGGGGATGGGACGTGGTGCTGGGAGGGCTGCGGCGCCGGCTCGGGCTCGGGGCTACTGTCCGCGGACATGGGCCCGTCGGGGGAGGGCGGCGACACGGAGGGCGGCGACGGCACGGGCGAGTCCTTGCCGAACGTCATCTCCCAGCGCACCGACTTGCGCTTGGCCAGCGGCGACACCTGGCGGCCGGGCTTCGCGTCGGCGTGCACGCGCGGGTCCGACTTGGCGCTGTCGCCGGACGAGCGCCGCCGCGCCGCGCCCGCCCGCCGCGCCGCCGGCGTCTCGAAATGCCGCAGCCAGTCGGGCTCGTCTGAGGCGCCCTCTGGCGGCTTGTTCTCGCTGACGCTCGCCTCGGGCGGGGGCGCCACCGCCGCGCCGCTCCCGGACCCTTCCCGCTTGTCCGGGCCGTCGCGCGTCGCGAGGGAAGCCAGGTACTTGTCCCGGCCGCCCGTCTTGCCGCTGCTGCTGCTGCTGCTAGATGGCGCTGGCTGCTTGCTGCTCCTGCCGTCGGCACGTGGCAGCCTCTGTTGGGCTTCCTTGAGGGTGCGGTCCTTCGTCTGCCGTGCGGCGGTCGACGGAAGCAGCTTGTTTCTGTCGGCGCTCTCAGCCTTGTGGTCGTCGCTGCCTCTCGCCTCGCTCTGCCACTTTGTGCGCAGCCGCTGCTTCTCGCTGTCCGACAGCCGGCTCTCTGTGCGGCCGCCGTCCTTACCGAAGCTATTTCCCCGGCCGTCCGCCTGCTTGAAGTCGCGCCTGCTGTCCGCGGAACGCTGCTCGCCCTTCCTCTTCGTCGTCGACACCGCCTCCTTACCGTCTTCCTCCTCGCCTTTGCGCTTCTTCCCCCGCGAGCCGCCTCCTCCGCCGCCGCCGCCGCCGCCGCCACGCTCTCCGTCCCACTCGCGCTTCTTGATGGCGTGTCGCTCGTACTGCTTCCACGACTCGCGCTCCTGGTACGCGTGGATGTCGATCGCCTCGCCGTAGTCGAGCACGCTCTTCGTGCGCATCATCGTCGTCGCCGCGGAGACCGCCTGCTCGCTCTCGCGCTTCTTCTTCGGGATGCGCGGCAGCTCGGAGATGCTCACCTTCGGCTGGATGCCCAGGTTGGCGCCCGGCTGCGCCTCCTCCTCGTCCTTCTCCGCCGCCGCCGCCGCCGCCGCCGCGTCCTCCCCGCTCTCTGGCCGGTCTCGCCCGAGAAGCCGCCGCAGGGTGCTGCTGCCGTCGCCCGCGCTCCGCTTCGGAGATTCCGCTTTCCGTTCGGCGCCGTTCTTCCGCGGGATCGATCCGTCTCGTCCGGACGCGGGGATGCTGCTGCCGGCTGCGCTGTCGGCGCCCGCGGTGTCCCCGCCG